AAACACGTTTCCCTTTCTCCCTTTCTCCCTTTCTCCCTTTCTCTCTGCTTCTCTCCACATTACTTAATGTCTTTCTTGCCTTCAGCCAAGTCAATATCTTCTACTTTTTCCATTTACTTTATACTCATTCTTTATATCTTTCATAGGTTTAGGGACACTAATTCCAGAAGAGCCCCATAAGGGCTAATTGCTATTCTCTTTCCTTTTCTCTCACCCTGGCTTCCAGCATCTTCCCAAACTACCAAACAATATGTAATTTATAATCACATACTTTACTCCACAGGAAAAACATTGGCAGTATCATTTAATATAGAAAACAACTAAGAAATAACATGCATTTGCTCATTTAAGGCATGTGTTATGGAAATAACTGGGCATAAAAATATTACACTATCATTCTTAGAGAATTGAATGGAACATATGCTACAAAACTACACTGCTCACAATAATCCTTATGGAAACACATCTATGAAAAGTAACTGTCATTGGAATGTGATAAAGACAAAAGCAGAATAAGCTATTTCGACAGGTGTAAGAATGAAACGTGACAAATCAAACTTGTCAGCTGTTATTCCATCCCTCCTAGTGTATTCTATTGCTAAGTATTTGTTGCTGATTTAAATTTTGACTAAATGTTGACTACCAGTCAATAGGAGAAAAAAGAATAATTCCTTTCTAATTGTCTATTAAGTTATAATGTAGAATACTTTATAATCCTAATATATAAATTCATACATTATAAAAATACATAAATGTTGCAATTTAGATCCCTATTTCATGAAAATTTCTGAAATGAAAAATGCCGCATCAAGATAGCGAGTTAGGGGACCAGTGATTGAAATAATGGCTATGTCGTTGGACTTTTATGTAGCCAACCATGGTTTGAGTCCTGGACTTGGTAGCTTATACCCACGCCAGATGCGTATGCGTGTATGCCCAAGATCCCAAGAGAAGAATGGAGGAGAAGGGTTGGTGGTGTGGCCATCCCCCCTGAGGAGTGAATTCTTACTTTCTATCTCTCTGTGTCATTCTGGTAAGCACATGCACCCCATAGCAAAAATTTCTCAAGAAAAAAATAGCAAGTTAGGGGCCTTAAGGTGGTGTGGTGGTTAAAGGCAGTAGACTCCCACATGGCCAACCACTGTTCGAGTCTTGGACCTGGTGGCTTGCTTTCTCACTTTCTTTCTTGCTCTCTCCCACTCTATCCCTCTCTCTCACTCTACCCCTCTCTGGTCAAATGAAAATAAATAAATAAATGGATAAATAAAGTTAAATAAAATAATTTTTAAAAAGATAGCAAGTTAATTTAAAATTAGAGACTAGAATCAACAATGGAGTAAATCATTAAGTTGATTATTTTGTAAACATTTATGTTTGAGTGAATTGAACCTCTTCTCTATACTATTTCACACATAATATGGTTTTGAGAATTACAATCCTCTCATCTATCCTTATTTTCTGAAATACTTTCTTTTATTATTAACAGAAACAGAAGAAGAATTTCAAATTTCAAATAAACCACATCTGAATTTCATCCACCTTAGAACAAAACTAGTTAAGAAGAAAAGAAGTTGGTTTTGATCCAATGCCCATAAAACTCACATGGCTGGTAGGAACAGCAAGTCACTTTTATATCATGATACTATGTTAGAATTGTGATGAAAAACAGGGTGAATCAGGATAGTGGCTGTAATAGAATTCTTAGAAATTAGTCTCACTCAACAACAGTCAGCGATCACTTAGCTTAGCTATGACCTGAAGTGACCAAAATATTCCTTACTGAGTCCAAATTATCCTTTGGGTTTCAAAGAATACTCAAAGAGGAAGTTAAGTGTCCTTTCTCGACTTCCCCTTCATAAGATCTCAAAATATATATATAAATTGTAGTTACTCCAGCACTTCCCTGTTCAAGGGAAAATGTGGTGGAGGAAGTTTGGCTAAAAAGTAATTGTGGTTAAAATACCTTATTTCTAAAATTTGTTCAAAAATCTATGACCATATGAACAATTACTAAGGTCACTCCCAGGATCTTGGAATTAATCAAGACTAGAGAGCCACCCTAGGGTTTAACAAAGACAGAACAATTTATCTTGGTAGGAAAATAGGCTTCTGATCTTGTTTTTGGTCAACAAGATGGAAAAGTTTTGTTTACATAATGTGGACTTTCACTTCCTTTCTTACAGAACAGCTTGATGGGTAATGTTCCTGTATGATATTTTACCCCAGCTTTATCATCCTTCTTCTCTGCTAAGGTTGATGTGGTTTGGCCTTTTCTCAAATTGAATTAGCTGCAGTTATGCTTTTCATTTCCTAGGCACTTTTATTCCCTAGATCTCTGTTTTAGGAGTTTAAATCATATACTGCTCGGTCAGATCTTTTGTAATAAAATGTTGCTTTCGGGGCCCGATGGTGATGCAGAGGTTAAATTATGATGCTCTATGAGGCAATTTCACATGACAATATTCCTTATTCAATTCTGGGGACTTCACCTGAGTATGTTCATGATATACGGTATACGTGTCCCCGTGACCTGAAGCTGGCTGGGGGCCTGAGGTAGGTGGTGGCATCAGAACCATATTGGAAATGCTGATTATGTGTCTGTCTTTCTCTCTCTCTCTCTCTGTTTTGCTTGCTTGTTGGAAGGAACAAATAAATAAACTTAAAAAAATAAAACCTATAACTATTTTCCAAAAATGGTGTCTTGTATGTGCTCTGAAAGCTCCTGGATAGCTCAATGCATCTTGAGCTCTCCTGAGAACAGAATCATGGTATCATGAATGAATTACAATGAACTCTTTAAAGCATTTTTATTTTTCAAGAGTTTATTAATTCTAGGTGTGTGCTAATAATCATTAACAAGAAATACCTGATTTAATTCTTATAACTGTGTGGAATGTGTGTTCGTATTATTCTATCCTTACATGAGAGAGAACAGCGACAGAGAGGTTAAAAACAAAGCAAAACAGAACTTGTCCTGAGACACGCAGCCAACAGTGGTTTAGCCAGGATTTAGTGTCTGCTCTTTGAGGACAAAGAATGCAAAGCCAGGCCGACTGAGGGTACAGCTTAAACACAGTGTGTCACATGTGTCCTTAGTAAGTGGAAGGAGCGGAGGAAGGAAGTGTCTCTGCCTTTGAAATTTTCACTGGAATGTACATCAAAGCATATCAAAATTTTTGTAAAGGACATTAACATCCATGTGTTGATTTTCGAACTGGCTTTCTTGCCTGTCCAGGTACAAACCAGAATTTTGACACTTGCTTTGTGTTTTCCACAAGGCCAGCTAAGTACTCATTTTTTTATTTATTTTAAAAACCTTAAGAGTCACTGTTAATGCATTCTGTTTCACGTATGAAGGACTGGAGGAGGCACAATGTGTTTCGTTAATTGGCTAAAGTTACACAGCAAACAAGAGATGGAAGAAAGAGTCTAAACCGGAACTATCAGCCACTAGAATTAAACCCGAACTATCAGCCACTAGAATTTATCCTCTTAATTGTGGTATGAACAGCTTAACAATGATACATTTTGAGAATGACTGGGGAATGACTTAACCATGCTACGTTTTGGGAATGGCTTGAATAGTGTTCTAATGTAATTACACACTAAATTGCAGCTACCAAATACAACAAAATACAAGAAATTACATCTATATAGATATATATCTTCTACATTGAATCAAGAAACTTTGATTTTAGATGGAGAAATATACCACCTTTATTTTTTGTGTGTTTGTAATTTAACACCAGCTATAACTGAAGTATCGTTTGTAGAGACAGTAACTTTATGAATGTCATGCTCTAAGCATTTAATGTGAACTTTATTTCCCCACAACCACATTTATATATGTCCAAGTGGTACCCTCATATGATGGTTACTATGATAATGAAATAGTGTAGGCAATATCCTCTTTTTCTAAATTAAAGTCTTTACTCAAATGTTACTCTTATGTAGGTATGTTAGTTTTTCTTGTTTGCCATCCCTACTTATTAGATTCATCCATTACTGCCAGGAAGCTGACTTCTGTGAACTACATTATAGCGAGGTTTTCTTGACCTCAGACACTCACTGCTTTTGGACAATGGGAGGAACCAAGAGATTCCAGGTTGGAAATAGGTGTCTGAGTATTTGTTTTGCTTTTCCTTTCCTGCCAGGCTGTGCTTTTGGCAGTGGCTGTTTATCTCTACCAAGGCTGGAGTTCTCGTGGGATGACTTCTCTTGGTGCTCATCCAACCTGAATAACATTGTTCTGTCCCCTCTTTTGAGTCTAGCCTTGATAACATTTCCCACTGTTGGTCCCTGGTGCCTCATCATTTTTATAAATTAGTTCCTATGACTTTTCTGTCTGCATCTCAAATATAACATCTTCATTAAATGCTATTCAATTAAGCACTGTGAACACATCATGTCACCTTGGGTATAGAGGGACCCTGATGGGTACTGTAGACCAGATTATCAGGTAGTAAATACAAAGTATAAGCAATCATAAGAAAACAATTTTAATCACATACCAGTAAAGCAGCACAAATTGGGCCGTGGATAATGTAAAGAAGATGGGTATCAGAACTGATCCAGCAACTAGGGGAGAAATGTAGGCATTATGTCACTAAGGGTGTTATATTAAGAGTTTTATTTGACTTAGTTCCAATATAAGTCATAAAGAGAGATTGTCTTACTTGTCATTGTAATATAAACTTCTGGCAACAGCATGAATACATGCAGGAATCAGTGGAAATCCTGGAAATATCAAGGAAAGAAAATACATTCACTATATTCACTAATAATGGAACTCCTAAAATATGTCATGAATATGAAACTCAAAAGACTGTATAGAGGCAAAAATAACTGGTCTATACTTATTTACTGAGTAAATATTATCCACATAATCAAGCAACCAATATGTTAAACTATTACGTATTTATATTTTTGTGTTCATGTGTATATACATGTATATTTTCTTCAAATATAAATCATTTTGAATTGTGGAATCCAGAGCTTAAGTTCCTAAGTGTGCTCCTAAACCCTGAGGCTTGAAAGAAATTCAGTATTTATATAATTTTTGTGAAGCAGAATTGGCTAATATTTGGTAAACGATCAGATGTGGAGGGAAGCTGAAAACTGGTGAGAATTTCCACTGTAAGGGAAAAATTAATAGTAAACCTTTATCTGAAAAAAAAAAGAGAGCAAAAGAAGTCTATGTGCCAGAAATTTTACGTGTTTTGAGCATTCTAAATTGGACATTTCAAACATGAAATGAAGACAGGCTTTACAAAGGTAACCAGAATGTCCTAAAGATTATGTGTGTATGTGTATACGTAATTCTCTATATCTGTATCTTTAAAGATAGAGAGGTGATAAATGGATGACAGACAGAGATAACTAGATTAAGAAAAAATTCAGTTTATTTTCTGGAAAAGAGGCCTGTTGAGTCCATTTTCTGCATTTCATATTCAACGATATTCCAGTTACTTTTTATGATATGCCGGAAGCGCATCGCTGTATGTTTTGTGTATAATTCCATGTCAGGAAATTGTGCACACAAATAGACCTTTTACATGACTTTATTCAATGACTGACCTTCTCTTCTTACCATAATATATGGTTTATTTGAAAAACAAATATTTTTAGAATGGCACTTTAAAGTTGGTAAAGTCCAAGGCCCTCATATTATGCGTAACAATAAAGGAGATCCAGAAAAGCCTAAAAATAGCTTTTGAACTCTTGATTCTAATTCTTTTGGTTTTGTCACTATATATCCAGCCAAGAGACATTATTCACTAGAATATTAAGTAGAAAAAAAGCACTGCAATTATTAATCAACTTGTGACCACTCAAAACAATGAATTACTCAGTAATGTTTCGCTATTTGAATTTATAGCAATGAGCAAGTTAATCACTTGATATTCTTTAGGAGTGATTAATCATATTTTTATTTAAAGAAACCTTGCATACTTTAAAAGCTTCCTTAATCAGTTGAATCAGAAGTTGTGTATAATTGCACTTACCCCAGCCAAGAAAATAATACCACATCAAATGCTGTTTTTCTGCAAACACAGCTACCACTATGAGTGTGTGCAGATAAATGCCTTCACAGAGCATCCAAAAGTAATTGCAGCCCATCAGGTATAGATGAATGAATTGGAACACTTTACAACTAACCTGTGAGAAAAAAGAAAGCAATTAATATTTAGTGGTTTATGAATTGACATGTAAAACAATAGACTAGGTTAGCTCAGGAAACGCAGATTTTTCTCTCCTCTGCACAATATCTTATCCACTAAAGATTCAGATGTATAAATTGCTAGTCTTTATGTTCATCTATTGATACCTCTAGAGTTGTTTTTTTTTTTTTTTTTTTTTTGTGGGGGGGAGGGGAGAAGTTTTTTCTATAGGGTGCATGCGCTCACCAGACAGACAAGACAAAGAGAGACAGAGAGACAGAAAGCGAGAAATCACTTGCAGCCACACTGCAATCCTTTCTCCTCCATTCTCCTCTCGGGATCTTGGGCACGCATGCACACCAGCTGGTGTGAGTTTTAAGCCACTGGGTCCAGGATGTGAACCGTGGTTGACTACGTGGGAGTCCAGCGACATAGCCATAACACTAACTGCTGGTCCCAATACCTCTAAAGTTTTTAGCCACAGACTCCAAAGACTTACAAATGTTTATCTCCTAAAAAATGTGTACATTCTAAATGCTCTTGAGTTGGTGGATGTGTTTTTTCCTAATGTGCTTTGGTTATTATATAAGTATAAAAGTTTGACACACAAATGAATTTTTATTTATTTATTTATGTTTCAACTTGTCATCATAAATTCCTAGGTGGTTGTGTTCAGCGGGAACAATTTTATTAAGAAAATAGTCATTGGAAGGGCCAGGAGGTGGCGTGGTGGTTGGGGCACTGGACTTCTCATGTCCACCCACAGTTTGGGTCCTGAACCTTGTAGCTTGCTTTCTCACTTTCCTCCTCTCTCTCAATTTCTCTCTCTCTGGTCAAATTAAAAGATAATAACTAGAATTAAATAACAAATTATTTTTTAAAAAGAAAAGAAAACAATTCACTAAGGGTTATTGGGAAATCTTGAACACTACATGCTATCAGTGCAAAACCTTATTAAATAATAACCTAAGGATCCTATATGCTATCCTATCCAAATATGGAGTTCGAGAGATTCATGTAGTAGAAGAAAAATTAAGGTTTCTCTTGTTCTTTTTCTTAGATCTCCATTTTATCTTCTCTACACTTAAAGAGACAAAAAGTAGAAGATTCAAACATAATATTTCAACAAAACAGAAACAAATAGAGAGAGAGTTTACTCCCTTAACTAAGAAATAAATTTGAAGCTCTCCCAAAAATACATGGCCAATTATTCCCATCATCTCCAATTTCCAGCCTAAAACTCCCTCAATATTTAGTGGCAATTATCATTAGCTTTGAAATAAATATTTTTGACGCACACATGCACACAATAAAAGGGCACTGGAAAAACGAAAATAAACATTGCATTACCACAAAATAGTAATAATATTTGCATAGGAGGTAACTTAAAATACTTGTGCACATATTGCTTTCTTTAATTTGGTGAGATATGCATTATCACTAGACACATCTAGATTAAAAACATGAGTATGAGGAAGTTAAATGTTCTACTAATATTCATACAATAGTAATCAAAGCTATACCGTGAATACGATTCCTGTAATTCCAGCTTGCTTTGTGCTATGTACAATGCTTCCTGACTAAAGCTATTTATAAAATCTTTTTCTTCCTTAAATAAATCTGTAGAATGCATGACATTGAGATTTAAATAATACACTTTCATGTAAAACACAATATTATGTTAAAGTCTTCTTGAAGGTAAAAAAAAATGAGTTACTCAACTATATCTATCTATCTTAGATAGATATATAGGATAAACTTCCATTTCAAGTTTTAAACCTATTGTTACTAGATATTAATACCTAATTAGACTTCTAATTATTTTATTTTAAAAACTAATCTATAAACTATTATGGTCAAAATGAATTTTTAAGCATGCCTCAAAAATATGTCTATGCAAGACACTAGTAATAAAATGAAACAATAAATTTTCTCAGAAATTTAGTAAAAATATGCCTCAATTTATAGTTTATGTATTAAACACAGGATCCTTACATGTGAGCATGTGATTTAGAATATTTTGCTATGCAGCCTTGTGACAAATCTCTGGCTCTCCTTGTCCTAGAGAAATTCACTCTGAAATTGCGGGACTCTGGCCAATTGTTTTATATTGCTAATTATACCCCAGTGTGTTTCCTAACCCAGTGACTCTACAGTGGAACCTATACAAGATTAAGCAATCCGGATGCACATGTGCAAACAATGCAGGGAATTTTAGAATTTTGGAAATTACCTTAAAAACACACATAAAACACATTTGAAAGTGTTGTTTATTGACCTATTGAGTGAAAATTCCTTCCCTTCTCTGATTTTAGTAACTAGATAACTTAAGTATTAAAAAAACACTGCACACACACACACACACACACACACTCACACATATGCATGCACACAGCTGTATCTAAAATTATAGTATGGATAACACATACATTATGAAAGCAGATTTTAAAATTTTTAAACCTATGTTATAAATACAGATACTTGGATTTAAATACAGCTTATATGTATATAGTTTTCATAAAATATATACATTTATATAAGTAAAATTTAACTTATGTCTTTAAAGTAGGAATTTTAAGGAGAAAACACACAAATATTATTGAGACTCGGTAGTCTTTTAAAATTTTAATGTTAATACAGTTTACATTATGTAGGAGTGTATAATTCAGTTTTCCTAGATTTATTGACTTGTGAAGTCGGCCTGATATCAAAATTATCATTTAAATCATCCATTTTCGTGTATCATTTTTTCTAACCACACAGAGTTGGTTGCTTTGATTGATTTTGAAAATTGTCTTAAGTAAATGGTATGTATTCATAAACCCTTCTGTCCCACAAGGAATGGGCTCTACAGTCAGAAAATGTGGTGAAGGTATGTGATACATATAACTGAAGTCAAGAAATGTATGTCTCTTTTGGATATTTCCTTTTATGTCTTTAGAAATATTAGCAAACATTTGCCTTTCTAGGTTGGATATAGTTACATACTCTATGTATGTCAGACCTTAAAATATACATATTGTGTACTTAAATATATATATGTGTATAATTATATGTGTTGTGTGTGTGTGTGTGTGTGTGTGCATAATTAAGTGAGAATCCCCACCTCCCCTCTTCTTTCTTTGCCCACTAACCCATTGAACCTCAGAGCACAGGTCTATTTTACTTACAGGATTTGTAGCCACTAACGCCTGGTTGTTGGCCACTGCAGTGAGGTGAATGATTGTTACAACAGAGTTACACACAAAAGAGAAGAACAGGTTTTTGTGCAAGGTAATTCTTTGGCAACTCAGACTCCTAAAAGGCAAGGGAAACAAAGTGTGTTGATATCATAAAATGTTTTACATTTTCTATTAATTATCATTCCAAAAAAAGACACATTCCCAATTCATAACAGCTATTCTACTTTTGGAAGAAATATTATTTCTCCCTAAGATTCACTCATGATAAAATCTTAATATATTTAGGGATAACCCACAATTTCTTTTTTTTTTTTTTGAGAGGTTTTTGCTATAGGGCGCGTGCGCTTGCCAGACAGACAGAGAGAGAGAGAGACAGCAAGCGAGAAATCACCCCCCAGGGGGGATAGTCATGCTGCAATCCCTTCTCCTCCATTCTCCTCTCGGGATCTTGGGCACGCACGCACATGCGCCTGGTGTGAGTTTTAAGCCACCGAGTCTGGGACGTGAACCACGGGCAACTATGTGGGAGTCCAGTGACATCGCCATTACGCTAACTGCTGGTCCCAACCCACGATTTCTTAAAACTAAGAGACAAATGAGTTGCTTTAACAGAGGTATACAAATGTAGGGATAAGAAATTTGCCTGGGGGGCCAGCAGGTGGTGCAGTGGGTAATGCACTGGACTTCCACATGGTTGACCGTGGTTCTGGTCCTGGCCCTCATGGCTTACTTTCTCATTTTCTCTTTATCTCTCTCTCTGTCTCTCTCTGGTTAAATTAAAAAAAAAATAATAACAACAATTACAATAAATACATTTTTAAAATTAAAAGAAGAAATAAATTTGCCTGTACAAGACCTCTACATAAACTTCTTCTGCTAATGCAGAAACTAGGATTCAGTGAAACTAGATAATTTATCAGAAATGATAGAGCTAAGTAACTTGAACATTTTAGATTTGTTTTACAGATTTTTCACACAGTTAATGCTCATTTCATTACGTAACATAGATTTATAGAGCCTGTGTTTTCTGTTGCAGTGGTGACAAGTACGCAGACTAGCCATGAGAAACAACACTGTATTTAGAATAGACAAATTTATAAACATAGAAACTTAGCAACCAATGAAGTTTCTTTAACTCATTAAAACTTCTGATTGGCCTAGTCATATTAATATTTAAGCTATAAACATTGTATCTCCATTTACTAGAGTTCCTCTTGTCTAAAATAAAAGGGAAGAAATGGCTTGTGGAGTATATACAGAAGTAGATGTCAGGGACTACTCCCATAGTGCAGTGGCTAAATGCTGTGTTTAGAAAGCTGGATTCCATATGGTCAACTCTGATCATATTCCAGCCCCAGAGGCTTCAAAAACAGTGTGTGTGTGTGTGTGCACGCGCGCACGTGCGCATGCAGGCATGTGTGTGCATGTTAAGAATCTTGACAAAATGGAAAAATGGAGGAATGTTCACATACTGACGTGTTTACTTTGTAAGCTAAATAATGTGATTGAGTATATATAAAAAAATGTAAAAAAAATAGATAAATGAAAAAAAATCAAGTCAGGTCATTCCAGAAGTGTTTTTGTTTTGTTTTGTTTTATAAATTAAAATAGTATTAAGGGAAAGAAAAAGACTGTCCAGAGTGAGGGGAATACTCAAGATAGACCTGAAACAAGAGAAGATAGGGGAGAGATATATTCCAAGCATAAAAATCACTGAGTCTCAGTCCTGAGCATAAAGATTTTGATGAAGTTTCTTTAACTCATTAAAACTTCTGATTGGCCTAGTCATATTAATATTTAAGCTATAAACATTGTATCTCCATTTACTAGAGTTCCTCTTGTCTAAAATAAAAGGGAAGAAATGGCTTGTGGAGTATATACAGAAGTAGATGTCAGGGACTACTCCCATAGTGCAGTGGCTAAATGCTGTGTTTAGAAAGCTGGATTCCATATGGTCAACTCTGATCATATTCCAGCCCCAGAGGCTTCAAAAACAGTGTGTGTGTGTGTGTGCACGCGCGCACGTGCGCATGCAGGCATGTGTGTGCATGTTAAGAATCTTGACAAAATGGAAAAATGGAGGAATGTTCACATACTGACGTGTTTACTTTGTAAGCTAAATAATGTGATTGAGTATATATAAAAAAATGTAAAAAAAATAGATAAATGAAAAAAAATCAAGTCAGGTCATTCCAGAAGTGTTTTTGTTTTGTTTTGTTTTATAAATTAAAATAGTATTAAGGGAAAGAAAAAGACTGTCCAGAGTGAGGGGAATACTCAAGATAGACCTGAAACAAGAGAAGATAGGGGAGAGATATATTCCAAGCATAAAAATCACTGAGTCTCAGTCCTGAGCATAAAGATTTTGAGAGGCAAGAACAGACATGAGAGAATATGAGGAAAAGTACACTTGTGTTTTTCTATAGATGAGCAAAATTACGTTCAAATAGCATCATTTACTAAGGGGTCTTTTTTATTCTGAAGCTCATATTCTTTCGTATTACACCTTCTTTTGTCAATTAATAAAACATCATTTATCTTATTCTTCATTTTTCATATTATCCTTCTCTCTTCAATTTTGTACACCAGTTTTTGACAACTCGATGTCCTATTAGCAAATGTTAACAGTATATAATAGTCATTCCTGATTTCTGTTTTTCCTAAATACTAAAAAAGATGCTACAGTTTGCAGATTTTACTTCAACTATTTCCTCATGTACAGTCACGTCTATGGTAGGAACTAAGAAAACAAATTTTGTCTATAAGAGTTGAAAATCAGATTGCAAAATATATTGTGACTTTTAAGAGAAAAATGTTATTTATTTCTATTCTCTCTTTCAAGCTATAAAGGTTTATTTATTCAAATAATTATATAATTTTAAAACCAAGCAATGGATTGTCAGCTTTGTTAATACAGTTTATTGTTATTCTGTTCTCATGAAAATTTAAGTATGCTTAAGTAGCATTGATGTTTTAATTTGCTCAAGCACAATAGACAAAACACACTTATAAAGAACCAGATATAATGTGTGTGAAAGAGTAGAACCTGGGAAGGTCATTTAGAAGAAAAATAGAGAGGCAAAGGATTAATGGGACAAAGAAATGTGTTATTATCTGTTGAAGAAATTTTAAAGTTGCATCAACTGGACTAGGGAGAAATGTTCACATGTTGAAATATTTGCTTTGCAAACTAAATAACATGATTGAATGTATAAAAGAAAATGCAATAAAAAATAAAAATAATAAAATTTACCAAAAAAAGTTAATCATAAAAAAAATTTTAAAAAAGAACTAAGTATTTATCAAAAAAGTCAATATAAAGGGAAAATTGTGATCTGTCACAGGCATTTATTGCTCAAAATAATATATTTATTATTTAAAATAAACCCACATTCTCTAATTCAGTTATTTACTTTCTATTTCCTTACTTGGTACTCTCTTCCATAAGCTAGTAATGGCAATCATTTTATAGTGGAATTGGTTTTTGTTAAGGTAAATTCATTACTTCTTGTACCATTCTATACTTATTTCAATATCATATTCCAATGTGGAAATACAATTATTTTATTATATAAAAAGTTTTCCAACCAAGACTCACATGGCTAAGTAGAAATTATTTTAACTCTCACTACATTCAGTGTGAGGGAGATGGACCTTTCAGTACATTGATTAAATTTAATTTATTTGGGGGTCAAGCAGATGGCATGGTGGTTAAGGTGCTGGACTCCCACATGGCTGACCACTGTTTGAGCCCTGGACCTGGTGGCTTGAAAATCATGCCGAGTGCATGTGCTTACGCCTCCGGAATCCTGAGAGGAAAATGGAGGAGAAGGGGCTGCAGCATGGCCATCCTCCCCAAGGGATGATTTCTCACTTTGCCTCTCTCTGTCTCTCCAGTGTGTACATACACCCTATGGCAGACATCTAAACTAATAATAATAATTAATTTGGAGGTAGACTCTGTAACAATGACATAAAGAAAAGAACTTATAAAGGAAAAACTATAGTTAAGTATAAATAATATCCAGCGTTACTGGAAGAAGCCTGGGATGCAAACCACGGAATAGGATATAGTTTGGAACATAGTGCATAACAAGTTTATAGTGAACCAATGAGTCATAAGAGTTAAGAAAGCAAAGATGATGCTCAGTAGGCACTAAGAGGTATGCTATGAAGGAAACACTAGATGACACGTGGGGAACTCAGACCTTTTCAGATCTCTCACACTACCAGTTTGCCAGGTTTTAAATAAACTGCCTAGGTAAAAAACCTAATTGAACACAGCAGTTAACATCACATGACTTGTACAGCTAGACCTTTCAGTGTAGGATTCCTTGAACAAATTGGAAGCATTTGAAATTGTTTTCAAGATGGAATGAAGCACAATTCTCAAAAAAAGAAAATTGTAGTTAAAGAAAAATCTATACTCGATATAATTAAAGAGAAATATGAAGAAACCAAAATTAAGATGAAAGTTCACAATTCTGAGTAAATAAATTCAGACAACATTTAAGAAAACAGGTGAGAATCTGGGTCATTTGTTCTGAAAAGCAGAAATACAGATACTCAAGGGTGATTTTAATAAGTTAAACTGAGAATGCTTTGGCCTACCAACTGGAAAGGGATTTTTTTTTTTTTTATGCAGAATATTATTTGGGACCTGTGAGAACTAACAAGAAAAGATATCATTGTTCATATAGTAGGCTTTAAAAATGTTTGCAATCAGTGTCTGAAATATCAGCAAAGATATTATTTAAAAATAAAGCTCTTTTTTTTCCCCCCATATAAGTGAGCTAATTAGTTATTAGTTATTATACCCTCTCTTCTATATGCAGTAAAATGGAGCTTTTTGCCTGGATTGGAATTAAGTGCAAAGTTTGCTATGTTCTCAGATTTTATACAGTAATTAAAAGATTTGGTAAGTTCTCAGATTTTATACAGTAACTAATTCCAATGAAGTTTATTTCTTTTTTTATCTAAAGGGTCTGCTCTGTTTTTCCAAGGATCATTATGAGTAAGAATCACTGCCTCTCAGAACTTGGCAAACTCCAAAGTTATGTCTCTCTCTCTCTCTCTTCCCTGCTCCCTTTCTGTTCATTTTCTTTTTATCTTCTG